ATTTACTATATAACAAACCTCTATTCTGCGGACACCCTTTCAATTTACTCAGTTCAATATACTAAACAGACCATTTGACTTAATCGCACTAAAACTAATATTAAACCCACAATGCTATGCGGTCAGTCAGAGTCTTTTTTTTTGAAAAAAAATTTCCAGAAGCATAAGGCTCTGGCTAAACGAGGAAACATGTTTCCAGAAACATGTTTCCCTAAATGTTTCCTAAGGTGGCAAAACTGTCAGGAAACATCGGGAAACAATGTTTCCATGCGTCTTGGAAACATGAAATGTTTCTTCCGCACGGCAAAAACATTTTTTGCGTCTTGGAAGCAAAATTTGTTGCACGCAGTAATGTTTCGCATGTGGCTGGGAAACATCGAGGAAACATGCGCGCGGTAAACATGTTTCTGGATACATGTTTCCTCGTTTAGCCAGGGCCTAAGACATGAATATAGAAAGATAGGGGACCTACCATAGCAATTAAAGAAGTTACATCTTCTTCCCTCTTTTGTAGCGCCTTCGCATTTGTCCTGGACACATTCACGCGTTCTCCATTGTAGCCCATCGTCACAACTCTTTGTACACGTCGACCATGAAGACCAAGGTTTCCATCCTATAAAATAATATCATCAGTTCTTGTACTTGTTTTTTGATCTCCCGTATCAAACCCCTTAATTCGTTTCAAGGCATGATCATACGTTAGGCATAATGGAGCACCCAAACTTTTTGGTATCAACTTATTTTGCATTTTGTGATAAAAGTGACGTGAAAGACCTGTTTCGAGTTCCAAATTACCGCTGTGTTCCTTGATTACAGACTCATTTGCACAGGGTTAGTCTCGAACCCGTKTCTAAATATTCACAAATACCAACGGTAAAGTAAAGAATGTACAACTTCAACGATAYAAACACTTTGAAATCACAAGGACCTTCACTGGAACATACAGTATGAATATTCTGCACAAAGTCGAGGCTGAGAACTCGAACATAATAATAATAATAATAAAATAATTATAATTATAATTATGATTATAATAATGACTTTATTGGTATAAACTCAATTAATGCAAAAAGCATTAGTACATGGACAACATAGACAAGAAAACCATAGCAAAAAAAAGTTTACCGAAGTAAATGACCTATGAAGGGTCTATTTTGGGTGTTTTGTCTGAAAATTGCAAGTACACTGTTTACTAGAGGGAAAGAAAATGTTTTCAAGTGGATCCGAGAATGTCATAATCAACTGACTACGGATCAGGCAACCCGCCCCATCCCCCCCTCCCCCCTTAACAAATGGTGCCGCCGCCTATGTTACAGAGTGCTAGCTGAGTGCTATCCTTCATCGGGTCCAGAGCCTGTATGGATTCAGTGTTTCGTGTGAAGTATTTTGAAATTCGAGTAAAAGAAGTCYTCACTTCCTTTCATGTAGCCACAATGGCGCGTTAATCAGACGCTTTGCATATTACTCGAGGTGCTGAATYAAAGTGTCTTCTCGTTAGCTTTCCTTCCTCATTAAAAACCAATCAAGATTCCGACTGACTGCGGTATTCCCTTCCCGTCTTGCTACACCTCTTCCCGGGTCAYCAAGAACTTCTGACACGAAAATAAAGTTCCTTTTCCATGGCTAATATCCATGATTTTTCCAGCCGCGAAATAGTATTTTATTTACCGGCGAGAATAACGCAGCCACCACCTCACTTTTCGCAGACGACTAGTCTTGGCGCCAAACAGCCGAACAATACATCATCTTTGGCAACAATCAATCCAAATTGTGATTTATGAATAACAATTAAAGGGATTAGAATAGAGGTTTTCAGGATATTGTATAATTGAATAGAGRAAAAAATTCCCTATAATTGATGGTTTTGGTATTCAATTGGGCGGTGATGACGAGWTCATAACGCATTATTGGTTATTTTGGTTGTTGAGGAAGCTTCTAGCATTCCTTCAATTTTCAAATTTAATCGAAACCTTAACAACCTCGGGACTGATCAGGGCACGGCTAATTCACGAATGAATTGGAATTTAGCGTGCTAGGTTATGCGGAAGGAGAAAAACCCGGAGAACTAGGTTCGCTTTTTTTACCACTTTTGACCTGCTAAATTCTGATCTTCCTTTCTGGCGGCACAAKCGTACAGAACGACTACGCCTTTTCCCTAGCCAACCTTTTGACGAGAGAAAACTGACTAGCAGGGGAGGAAGTTTATTTCGGTCAATTTGTAACTAAATTGTAAACGGAGGTAATGCTAAATTACTGGTATAGCATGAAGGTGAGCTTCTGTATGATATTGTTCTGTATGAAAAAGACAACTGAGTTTTCTCATTCAAACTTTTCTTATCCTTGCTCTACTACGTTGAATCAGTTGTCGTTATGTTTTTGGAGTTTTGCTCAGTTCGGTTCATCAGAAGTTTACTATAGAAACTAGTGCCTCAGCCAATCACGGCAAGCAATCTAAAGACATCGAAGTTCGGCCAGGCAAAAGTTCGGTCGTGTAAAAATAACATGAATAGAGCTAATTTACACTGAACATAAATTTAATCCTTCGATTTTAAGCTGGATAATCTAAAACTAAGTCCATGGCCACGGCTAATGGATTTTAGTGAAGAGCATTTGAAGAAATTTTTCATTTAAGCTTGGGATTATTTTACTGTTTTACATTATATATCTTAACCACTTTGCTGGAATTTTTGTAGATATGAGAACGAAAGCAATGGAAACGCGCTTTTATTCTATTTCTAAGTCGACTTACAGGTTTTCTAAAGTTGTATTTCATTACAGTAAGTTGCTTGACCAAGAGAGATTCTGCAGTTTCATTCCCGTACGAGGTCATAAACTACTTCTGTCCTTGCGAGTCGCTAACTAGAGCGAGCTGTCATGAAAACCACTCGAATAAATCAGATTTACAGATCGGGACGAATCTTTAGCTGATTATGATGGCGTCTGTGGTCTGAACTGACCCTTGAATCAATGGTGAGCCGAGAAAGGTGAGATTGGGCTATAAGTATAAACAGATTTTCTCGGGGAATCAAACGACAACTATAATCTGTATTTGCAGTTTCATTAGCTCCTGTAAGTAGGAAATCGTTTGTAATAAATAACAAGGTTTAAGAGGCCCAAAGACTAAGCCTAAGACTGCCGGGGTGTAGATTAGGTTATGGAATGAGTGGGAAACATGCATATTATTGACATACGCTAGCACTAGTAAAACGAAAGAACATGCCGTGACATTGAAATGGCTTTTCATTTTCTTCAAGTACTAGTAATTTATCCAATCACAACGCGTAGTTACGGCTACGGTAAGATAGTCTCCGGTGTGGCTACGAATTTGCCGTATAGTTTCCCGCTCATATATGAGATTTTGTTTACTCTCACTTTTAGATGAAGAAAATCAACTTAATAATAACGTGTCGGTTGTCAAAGTATGTGACTAATGTTTATTTGGATTAAACACCAGTTGAGCACATCAAGCTGTTTTTCGCACTCAATTTGGATTGTCCAAGACTAGAGTTCAGTGATTTACGATTTCTTATCTTTCCTGGCCATCACCTCGCAATCCGAGTTATAATTCGTGCGAAGAGTACGCGACGGTACCACTGGTTTTAAGTTGAGGTGACAATAAAAGACCACAACGACAACAACAAAAATAAGAAAACATTCAGAACTTTGATTTTTTCCCCGAGTTTCTTTCAGTAAAAGACCAATGAAAAATCATTTCTATACTCAATACTTCCTCTGTTTATAAATAACTTCATCATATATAACAAGAACAACAACAAGAACAACAGCAGCGAAATTAAGACAGTGGCGGATCCWGGATTTTTCAAAGGGGGGTTCCGTTTCTTAAACTGTGTATAATTCTCTTTTGTTTAGTCGATGTCTGACAGAAAAATTGGCTCTAATCACCTAATTTACTATCTAGTAACGGAACTTAAAGGTAAATTAAACATTATAACAGCAAATATTTATCATTTCGTGTTCAACATTATCCTTGTGGATACTTTTAAGCAAAATTTATATAAGACATATTTCTATTACCTAAAAGATCAAACCTTCAAGGGGGGTTCCGTGGAACCCTTCGAACTCCCCCTGGATCCGCCACTGTAAGACTAACGTCACTACCYGTATAACAAACTATACAAAATTCAAACAATGCATATTGAACAAAAAACTACGCCTACTGCGAATATATTTTCCGACTCAACGCCAGGAAAATTTCACCTATTTTCCTAACAAAAAGTGAATTTTTTTTAAAAGAATTTACAAGGGAGAATATGCACTGTATCTGAAAATCTTTGTTGCGAATGGTTTTAATTTAACAGTGAGAATTACAAGAATGATAACAGGAAACACTATGATCGACCGATTGATCTTTTTCTCTTATTACCAAAGTTATCTTACAGAATTCTTCCACGTCTTTTGGACTTCTATGGGGGTATATTTTTGCCATAAAAAGCATTAAGAAGGAGAAGGAAGTGCTCATTTCGATGAAGAGAAGAAGGTGTGGTGTCCTGATTGCACTAGAAATGGGCGGTCAGGAATTTTGATGTCGTAAAAATAATGCCTCTTTGAGCTACTTTTAATGTATTTTTATTTTCAAGTTATTTAAAAACCTTCAAGTTTTTATCGATACCCTGAAACAACCTCTAGGCTGATCTAAGTCAGGGCACGTCTAGCACTCTTTTGTGGGATAGGAAAATGACCGGAGAATCCGAAGAAAAAGCTAGAATCAAGTGAGAGCGTTATACATTAAATTTGTTTCGAGGATGGAAGAGGGAGAGGGAAACTGACCCCTTAAAACAAATTAAATATCGATATTTTCTTTACGATAAAAAATAACACAATCCAATTAAAATGATTTAATGCGTAATCCAGTGCGTAGTAAACACTGTTTACGGCAATCAAATTGTTTCATTTTCATCTTCAAAAATGTTCGGAATATTTTCGACTGTTTCGAGTTTATAGTGTGTTTGTACAGTACAATGAGAGTCAGAGGTGACGTAAATGTTTCTAGCMGACCCAGCTAGAAAAAGCGGCACGCAGACAGATCGTAGAGGCAACTAGTTAAGACGTTAGACCTTAATCACTGGATAGACTTACACTTCTAAGTTCTGAATGTTTTCAAAAGATCGATTTCACTGCATTCTCRGGACACTAATTATTAGTTTTGTCCGTGTGCGGCCTGACAATTGATCCTGGAGCCATTAATGGTCGGTTAAGCGTAGAGGTTAGACAACTAGAATRTATCCTAAGAGCGAGGATTTAAATGCACCACATGAAGCCTGATTTAACACGAGTAAAGGATTTCAATTGCTTACCTAAAGTGAGTAGAATTTCGTTCTCGTTTTCCACGGTTGCAGGGGAAGTTGCAGCGAAGGCAGTTTCGTATCGCGCCACYAACGATCGAGATTTGGGCTCAAAGAGCATGAATAAGATGTGTATTTCTCCTTTATATACTTCTGAATAACATCTACTCTTCTCGCCGAAGCCGTATACCTTCACCGTAGGCCCAGGGTGAGTCTTAAGCACTTCATCTACAATCTGCTCGCCTTTTAAAATTCTGATTACTTCAAAGTCAGCAGCATAAAACTGCGATTGTGGGTCGACGGCGTACAGACCTGCTACTTTGCCGACGAACACAACTTGAACTTTATAAGCTCTTTCCCCAACGCTCATTTGTTTCCAGCCATTTAAGAGCAATATGCAAGGCTGTGCAATGTCTGTTATCGCGAGTAAAAATAATAGCATCAAACTCCATCTGCTTGCGAACCAGTTTCTAAAAGTCTTCATGTCGGAGAAAACGTTGGAGACAACTCGAGTGAACGACCCAAAGTGAACTATCTTTGTTATCGCCTGTTTCCTGTGACGAACTTTCCAAATCGACTCGTATCTCTTTATCCTTTTAGTCTTAACAGATTGTATTACTGATCATCAGAGCTCTCACGAGTCGAATTCCTGTAACGGGTATGCCCTCAGATGACATTAAGTCAAGTCTCTGCTACATACCACGAATTCAATGCGCCGGTGGTCGACCTTGTAAAGATGATGGGGTACTGTCCTGACAAGATGGTCGCTGCGAGAAATACCTGCGCCTAGCCGAGRTAGAAGATAATAAACGATTAGTCATATATTAGTGACTTAATTRATGTCAGTCTGTTGACGCTTTAGGATGATTTATTGGGTGTCAAAGAGGAACCTCTCAGCTGTTGCTCTGTACTTTACRGCGCAGCGCGCTCCTTGCCGACATTACAAGCACAAGACTTTTTCTCTACTCAACTGGTACCGCTATCCAAACAAAAAGAACGCATATCTATATCGTTATATTATATTTGTGTTTACTGTCAACAGAGGGGCTGCCTTTTTAATGATATATAATAACCCTTTGTCATTTATTTCTAATTGGTCCACAATCCAGTTAAGGGATTGAATATCACATGTCAGGAGCACAAGGGCAGTCACGATCATTTTCTTGCTCCATTACCAATACTAATACACTTGGATGAGACATACTRGACTTGCTAGACTTATCCTACTGAAGTGTACGAGCGATTAAGTCGTTTCTCAATAGAGCAAGAGGGATTTCAAKTGCTAAGTATAAGTTCTTTTGATCATCAATATCGGTGCTATCACTCGCTGCAGGAGTCTTTTGGTGTGATTAATCTTGATGTTTACTTTTAAAACCGCATCAGCAGTAATAACACTAGCTCCATATGTGAACCCCGAGGGCTGGTTCACTCAACAACGCATTTTGACTTGAATAAACTTTCGCCATTTACGAGGAAGGGCCGGGCGATTGTAGTCACAGACTCTAAGTCTAGTCCAAGTGCTTTATCTAAYTAGGCTTTTATGGGATGTTTAACCCCAAAGCCCCACACATATAGTCAGAGTCATTTATGAACGGTATTCGATACACGTTTTGTTAATCTGATGACGATATTGAATGCGGCGATTAAAAAAAACACACACATCTTCCCGGTACTGAAAAAACTTTCTTCCTCTGAGCAAGTTTATTGTAGCGGAATGCTAAAGCTATTAGTCACCCTCAACTACGTTGGGGGGAGAAGTGCGTACTACTTCTGTCATCAAATTTACCCTGGCAACGAAGAAAGATCTACTGATAGCCCCTACTGCTCTGCAACCGTATATCAACCGCACATCTTCAGCCATTGAACTATACGTTTGCCATTATCCTTGATCCTAACAAAGCTTTAGCTTAGGTATATAGAGCATGTGCAAAGGTACACAGAAAGMATCAAGTCAAAGTGAAAACGTGCCTGCGCCGACATGTTTCAAAAGTCCTTCAGTTGAGATATAGATAGATATATAGATAAATAAAACTGGTATATATATCAAGATTATTTATTCTCTATATCTCTAGCTCGCTTGAAAATACAAAGCATCTTAATTAAAGGTTGCACAAGCTGAACTAAAACAGAAAGTTTATGACYTTTATAGACGAGTTTGTTTTTCTGGAAATTTTTTATACCAAGTTATACTTCTGTAGWAGAATATTCGTTCTATTCTGAATAATTAAGATTATTTTTGGRGTATCTTCCGCTAATTTACTGATAAACAACTGGAATCGAAGCTAAAGAGGTCAAACGCCTGTGTAAGTGGTAGCATTACCTATTGTTAATCTGCATATGGACGGTTAAGTTTCCTGTTAACGGTGAGTACCTTTGCGTTGGATGGATGGAGGGAGRGAGGGAGRGAGGGAGGGAGGGAGGGATGGATGGAGGGTTGGACGGGAGAAGGGATGAAGCCGGGAAGGGGGATGGAGCCGAGGGAGAGGTAATGAGGGAAGGGAGGAATAAAGGAAGAAAGAAAAAAAGGAAAAAAAAAGAGAAAGAAAGAGAAACTTGGCATGCCTTTAAATTAACCTTTGATTTTGGACGAACTATAAACCTAATCTTGAAAACACACTTGCTCTAATTGTATTGAGGTTGATCCAAGATCTATAAACCCTTAAATCTCACTTTTTACCGGCTTATCCACTTGGTCTCAGTCTTATAGTAGAAATCACTGGCAATTGACCTTAGGAAGGGCTCGACTAATTACATCTGATATTCCCTGAAGCAAACCTTTATCATTCCAAACTAGAAAATAATGTTCATACTTACAATTTTTGCGACATTTGTTTTTCTTTATATATAATTTCGTAATTTAGTTAAGTAATTTAGTCAATGTCATGGATAGATACTATTTCGAGTGAAATCAGGGGRAAAAAGTGATCATGATTCGTGTTTTTAATCTTTCATCATAGAGTTTACATGTTTAAGAGCCTTCTTTCCTTACTTGAAAATTAATGTCAAATCTCAAGGACGGAAATTAAACTTAGCAACTGATGACAGCGAGAGAGCAAAAAAGGAGTTCTTCTATTGATGATTAGTAAGACAGACTTTTACAAACTTCCTTTTTATACTTTAATTGCATCTTTCCTTGTATGGTTTTATTATAGAATATAAAATGACTATCACTTTTTTACCAGATCAATAGACCATTTCACAGATCCCGCGGCTCAACCTCAGCCTCGTCAGCGTGTAAATATATTCTTTAGAAATTGCCTACAACCCGTGAAATTTTTAAGTGTTTCAATTGTTCGTTGATGTGTAAATTCCTTTCATTACTGTGGACTGTAGTCAAATTCTAAAGAATAATTACACGCTGACGAGGCTGAGGTTGAGTAACGGGATCCGTGAAATGGCCTATTGCTTCTGCCTCCTGTCATGGCTGCCGTCACGTGATAATGCAAATCCTCTATACCAGAGATAGAAGAGATGGTCTTGATAGTTATTTTTGGAAGAATGACAAGGGCGTTTAAAAATCTACAAAAACATATGAATTAAATTCAATACAATCGAACTAAAAGGTTGTAAGAGTTGACAAAGTAAATACCATCCAAAGCAATGCTGTTTGTTTTTGTACGAAGGATATGCGTTTTAGGTTTTCTTATTGGCTACAATCCAAGCAGCAAGATCTGCGTTTATGGTCTCGTTTGTTTCTAAGATTCCTTACGGTTTTAGACGTATGCGTATGAAGTGTTCTCTTCGATGTACTACTTCGGCGATACGGTTGGCATCTTGGATCGCAAGGCATTATGGGGCGTCAAGGAGAGGAATAAGACATTCTTAGAGTAAAGACGTCGATTTAAATCAACAGCTGACAACAAGAGAATACACCAATATATGAATCAAGACGGCACATCGGTCACCTTTACCCATAAAAGAAAGACAAACACACGAAACTCTATATAATTTCCGTCATCTTTGTTTTGTTTTGCCCCATGGCATGATGGCCGCCGTATCGACATCCCCTGTCTATCCCCTTGTCCCTACTATCATACAACCCTCTCTACTATCTATGTGTCTCTCCCATCCCCTTGTCCCCTGG